TCTCCTACATCAATAATGACTTTGCTCGAATCAGACAGTCCTCCTCTGTCCACTGCCTCTACGTAAATCTCATACTTTTGGGCTTTTTCATAATCAACAGGGGCATTTAGTACAAGATGCCCGTCTTCCATAATGACGAATACATTTGAAAGGCCCCTCATGCTATTTCCAATTACGTAGCTAACCTCCCCATTAGAGCCTTTGTCTGCATCGGAGGCGCTCACTTTGGTAATGACTGTCCCATTGACTGAGTTCTCTTTGATTTCAGCTTTATAAACGGTTTGTGTAAAAACAGGGGCGTTATCATTAACGTCTAACACTGTAATATGAATCTGCATAGTCCCAGACCTTTGAGGCTCTCCTCCATCAACAGCTGTTAACAGCAATGATGCATACTCCTGCTTCTCTCTGTCTAGAGACTTCTGTAAAATCATCTCGACCTTTTTACCACCATCAGACTGACTGTTCATTTTAAGTATAAAATTGTCGTTGGGCTTCAATGTATAGCTCTGATGACCATTTAATCCTATATCTGGATCTATTGCTTTTTCTAGCATGAATTTAGAACCGACGACTGCAGACTCGCTGATTTCAAAGCGCCTGTCTTCCCTTTCAATAGAAGGAGTCCTCTCTCGGCGTTTAACTCGACGTATTCTCTGCTATCACCGGAATAAACACGAGCGTTGCCCAGCTTTAGCCTTTTAATATCTAAGCCTAAATCCTGAGCTATATTTCCAACTAAGGTACCTTTCGCCATTTCCTCCGGAACAGTGTAACTGACCTGCCCGAAAGCATCACAAACAACCAGAAGTAAAATACACAGCTGTACTTGCCGTCTCATTTTGTGTATGTGGGTCGTTAAGATTAAAAGAAAGACTCCTAAAAATCCCTTTGGATGGCAGACAGACAATCACAATTAAAACGAAGAAAAACAATCCTCAGAACGGAAGGAAAATTGTTACAATTTGCATCGCCTTTGTGCATATCCGCCTGACAAACGAAGACAATGCGGTCGG